CGAATGATCCTTATAATCCTACCCAAGTTGATGCAACCATACACGAGCAGTTGTCTTAGAAATTTTTTTTTGTTTTTTCGATTCCAAAGGCAGGTATAGCATCATTTTCAATAAAATTTATAAACTGGCTAACTGTTATTGTAAACTTATTAGTACGCAAATATTGAACAATATAAGATTTAAAATCTTCGTATTGTAAAAGAGAATCGAATTTTGGGTGCCGACCACGGCGTGATTCAGGAAGTTCTCCTCTTTTTAACCACTCACTAGCCTATGAACATATTAATCTTGCATGCCATGGACCTCTGTTAACGCTCTGAGAAAGAATCTCACTAGCAGTTATTTTAGAAAACCCTGGTCTTCAACAAGGTGAAGAAATTGACTCACTGTACGCAGGCGTATATCATCCGGGTTGTTTTTCAACATAATATCTAATGACTCCAAGGTAAATTTACCATCTTTATCGTCACTGGAGTCATAGAATAAAATATCATCACACTTATTCTCATTTTTAATATTGCGAATATTGTTCATAGAATTTTTTGTACCGCTATTTGAGAGGTCATAAAAAATCCAATCTGTAATCTTGTTAGAGCCCGATGCAGCTTTCTTAAGGCCGCTCTTTTATTGCGAAGGGTTGATTGGGCAAAGCCCATATAAATCTGTTTCTGTCCTTTCATTTTCCATACTCCCGGTTGTTTTGCATTATTAACGAGTTCCTCCAATATACTTGGTTCAATGCTTCCTAAATCATCCACAAATTGGTCATCATCAGGCACCTCAGAAGGTTCATTTAACCTAATATTAAACCACCGCTTCCTAATGGCCGCTTGGCAATTTCTAGAACGCTTGCTTCGTTTAGGCATCAAAAACTCAAGGTTACTGTAACAGGTAAGTGTCAAGTTATTTTCGTGACTTTATGCTGACTTTGGCTATATGTATATGCTTCGTAGATTATACCGGCTTTGTGGGTTATACCGACCTCGTGGGTTATATTGACTTTATAGTTTATAATAACAGTTAGCCAGTTTATAAATTTTATTGAAAATGATGCTATACCTGCCTTTGGAATCGAAAAAACAAAAAAAA